TCCACCATCTTGGCTCCCGGAAGGGGAAGTCTCCAAATTTTTTAAATAACACTTTTATTTGAGGAACAAATAAACCCTTATAAATTAACATGAAAGAATAATCACACAAATTAATTTTTTTTTTTACCTGTTAAGTGATCCAAATAGTACTGGTAAAGCTTGCACTGAATAGAAGTCATTCTTACTGCTAATACATACTCATGTTTGGGTGGTAAAAACTCTGCTAATGTTGTGCAATCTTTCCTCTGTAAGATAAAGAAATGAAAATAAATTATGCTCTCATACTAGTAATTAATTCAGGTATATTCCAAACTCCAAAATAGCCTAACTCTCAAGCTTATAATCTCTTTAACATAATCAATCACTGGTTCTCTTAGATTTAACTTTTAAAAATGATCTTTTCTGTACTAATAAAAAAAAAACAACCTGAGTCCAGTGAAAATAAATTCTTTTTTCACTATCCAACAAATGGTCCCTTCTGACCTAATTTTCACCATACACATAGTTCTTCATTTTCTATTATCTTGCATTTCATAAATTTATTATATTATCTGTATTTAAAATTTCTCATGAAGACATACCAAATTTTGACTCCCCAAATGGTTCTCTGCCTTCACTTTTCACATCAACAAAACTGATAGATTTCAGACTGGGTGGCTTTTAGTATTTAGTAGTCAATGTTGTGGTACCTACAACAGTGCTAGGCTGCTTTTTTCTATAGGGATTCTTTTGCAGAGGCTGTCCACATGGTTTTGTGTTTTAAAAAGTCATAAGATGGTCAGTCTGTCAGTCGGTCAACAAGCATTTATTAAGAGTCCATCATGTGGCAGGCAATGTGCTGGGTCTACAACAAAGGCAAAATAACAGTCCCTGCCCTTAAAGAGTTCACAATCTAAGAAAGAAAAAAGAAGCTAACAATATTGTCAAAACCAGAAATGTACACAATAAATATGGAAATTATTCAAAGAGGAAAGGCAACATAATTGAGAATTGGAAAAGATTTCCTATAGAAGATGGGATTTTAGCTGCAACAGAGAGTAAAAATCTCTAACGTTTATACTATATGCCAAGCCTAAAGCACTAAGCACTCTACATATATTATCTCCTTTGATCCTCACAACAAGCCTGTAAGCACATTTTACTACTGAGGAAACAAAGGCAAACAGAGGTGAAGTAACTTTCTAAGAGTCCAAGGTAGTAAGAATTCAAGGGTGAATTTGATTTCAAGTCCAAGGGAGCCAAGGTCCTTAACTGAGATAAAGAAACTTTAAAAATTATTACTCTGAGACTAACCATCCCAATCAAAAGTACAGCAGAAGGTATAAAATGTCCAAAGCTAGAGAGATGAGTAAATCAAAGAAAGCTTTCATCAGCATAAATATACATATATATGTATGTGTATGTACATAAAAACTAGAGATGCCCACAATAAATAAGCAAATTAGTCATAATGATTACAAAAATATTCAATGGAGTTCCAACTATCTAGCATGAATTACCTGGGTTAAATAAGGAAAGAGTCTTTTGACTAAAAGGCCTGGAGGAAAGAATGGTAACTGAATTTACAAGAGCATTGAGGGAAAAAAAAGAAATCTAAGATTCTGATGTAAAAAACTAGTAAAATAGAAAATGGGCCAAGGAAAAATAATTTAAGACTCATTCAACTCCCTAAAAACCGTAACAAAAAAAAAAAGATCAACATACTATAATTTGAGAAACCATGAGTAAAACTACCCTAATCTATTAGAACAAGAGAGCAAAGTAAAGAGAAAAAGAATACCCCAATCATTTCCTGAAAGTAATCTCAAACAGAAAATCTCACAAATGCCAAAATTCATAAAGTCCGTGTCAAACAAAAAATGCTTCATCCAGAAAGAACCAGTTCACACACTACTTATGATTCCACAAGATCTGGCAGCTACTGATAGAAATTTTGTGAGAAAACATGGAATACCTAAAAGGCAAAAGATACAGTCTTACATGATCTACCCTGCAAAGCTGAATATGATTCTATGGGAGAAAAATGGACTTTAATTGAAGTGAGGCTTTTTCAAGTCATGAGCTAGTTTGATCTAAAAAGAGAGGGGCCCCAAATTTTTACTATGAAAATTAAAAAATGAGGTTTTTCAGAAAAAAAATGAATAAAGGAAATTACTAGAAACTAACTATTCTGACCTATGTCCTGAAATGTAAAATAAAAAACAAAACAAAACTACAATCTTGATTGCTTGGCCATCACTTCCTGACAAATAGAGGGAGAATAAATGGAAGTAGTGTCAGATTTTATGGTCTTGGGCTTAAATCTCTGCACATGGTGACATCAGCCATGAAATTAAAAGAGACTGCTCCTTGGAAAGAAAGGCACATCTAGGCAGCAGGCTGAAAAGCAGAGGCCTGCTGACCCTTCCATATAGTGAAAACTATGGTTTTTCCAGGAGCAATGGGGAGAATTGGAACTATAAAGAAAGCTGTGCTCCACAAAATCAACACTTTCAGATTTCGGTACTGGAGAAGACTTTCCAGAGTCCCTTGGACAACAAGGAAACCAAATCATTCAGTACTTAAATTAACTAATTCTGGCTATTCACTGGAAGGCCAAATACTGAAGCTGGTTAGAATAGTGCCATGCAAACAACGAACATAAACTTGGATAGAGTTTGAGAGATAATGGATGACAGAAGCGCCATATTCTATGGGGTCAGGAAAAGTCTGACTGATAAATACTAACACAATTGACAACTTAAATGCAGTACATGGATATTTACAAACATATAAATAAAATTTTGACTTAATTTTAAGTCTTACCTCAAATTCCATCTACTACCTGAAGCCTTTCCTGGTCTCTCCTCCTTCGCTCTCCATCCCCCACTACTAATACCTTCCTTTTTGAAATTATTCCCTTTTTTTACATTGTTTATATATCTCAAATACAGTTTCCTTGTTAGAATGGCAATTTCTTGATTTTGGGATGGTGGCTATGTGTCTCCGCAATACAATACCTGACACATGGAAAGTGCTTAATAAATGCTTGTTAACTTGACTATCTGATGTTGCTTCTCTTTCACTTGGTGTGTCTACTCTTAGGATGTAGCAGGCTGTCCTGGATCAGGGTACTGGGTGGCTAAGAAGCCTAGTTTTTTATTCCTCCCTTCATCCATCCAGCTCCTTGATCAAAATTCAGAGAGCTACATGGTCTTCTGTGTCCTTTTCCACTTCTGTTCTCACCCCTGGGTTGCTTGGGCAGGACAGATGGTGTTTGAACTCCTTGAAGTTTACAGGTTCAAGGTGATGAATAATTGAATGAATGGACATATTTGTTAAATACTTGCCATATGTGCAAAGCACTAGGGATACAAATAGATATTACATACACACACACACACACACACTATATGTATATATATATATATATATATATATATATATATATATATATATATATATATATATAGTGTGTGTGTGTGTGTGTGTGTGTAAGACTTCAGTTCCAAGTCAGATTGAAAAGTCCCACAGTCCTTAGGGTGCAACAGGAAAACAGATGGCAATGCCTATTCTTTAATGTCTTTCTACTGATAAAAAAAAAACTTGTCAGTTTCTAATGTTTAACAATCTGACAGTGCCAAAAATTTTGGTAAAAATAACTTTTCTCCAACCAAAAGTAGGATATATTGTATAAGAGATTATTATTCATTTATCAATTACATATCTAGCCACCTTTCTTTGTCCTTGAATTGAGCCTGAGAACTCAACTTTCCCTCTCAGATTAAAGTTACAATTAATGGGAAAAACTAGGAAAATACTAAAACATCAGGTGTTATCTTGAACCAAGTTGTCTTGAAGGAAGTTCTAAGAGATACAGTGCCCCTGAATTGTCTCTGCACCACCAAGGAAAACCATTATCTTCCTAACAAATCTTTCTGGAGAATCTGCTAATTCAGGTCCACTCACAATGTCTACAATATGCTGAGAGGAGTTACTAGCACCAGTTTCCTTGATGTAACCAATCATGCTGTCCCAACACCTATGACTATCTACCCTAACTGTCTTTCCTTACCTATCCAACTATGTCCTTTGTTCTCTTGAATTTCCCAAAACTAACTAATTACCTTGGGGTCTTTGTCACTGAGAGAAGCAACTGATTCAACTCACTGGTTACTGCTAGTCTAATAAATTGATCATGCTTGGACCTTTGCCTTTCTTACTTTATACTTCAAATGTAACAACATATCATGAAGAGGTTTCAAGCAAAATTACAGATTTTCAACTAAAACTGACTGTATAGATGAATATATATTTTACATCTACCTGAACACAGCCAGCTAACATTTCATAGAGAATATGGGCACGCTTTTTCATTACTTGAACATTTGTCGTGGTGGAATCTGCACACTGGCCATTTTGAATTGGATTTATGAATCGATTCCTAAATCCGTAATAGAACCAAGAGATTCTCTTTGACAAAATTAACCATACAGTGATCTAAGAGAAGAAAAATAAATTGTCATTGCAAATATATCACATTTTATTCAACCAATTTTATATCATTAATGCAATAATGATGAACAAAGTTTTTTTAAATAAATGAGATCTGATGAAATGTGATAATTCAATTAGCACTTGCCAAATAATTATTTAACAATCCAACTATATTTGAAGATGTTGGTAAGCACATTTTTTAGAAATAGTTCAGAAAATTTAATGATAAGTAAAACTTTAGTAATATTTTTAAAACACAAAGACATAATTTAACAAATTTTAACAGAAATAAATGTTATAATAATTGAAATAATTCAGACAAGTTAATAAATAAAAGAAAAAAATTCTAAAAAGACTGTAGGTAAAGAGATTAGGAACATAAATCATATCCATGCTGAAAAAATAGCTCAAAATAACTCAAAAGAGGACAGTAACTTACATTCAATTAGATTATTTTGTAGAGGTGTTCCTGTTAAAATAATTCGTCTTTTTGAACGAATCAAATTCATAGCTTTGGATACGGCTGAAGCTTCATTTTTTAGTATATGACCTTCATCACACACAACAAAATCCGGGCCTACCAAAAAATTTTTTACTATTATTTAACTCTCACAAAATTTGTATCAACTAATGCTTATCTAAGATCAACTGCACAATGGAGCAATGCTTAAATATTGAAAAGCTATGCTAGAGAGCCACATTTGCCAAATGAGCAGAAATATCAATGGATTAAAAGTAAGATATCTTAACTAAGGCTTATGCATTATCTAACCAGAACATGTCATTTAAAGTTTGTTTTATTTTTTAAAGGTATCTTTTAATTTTTGTACCACATTTTCTGATCTATTCAATCATCCACAAAAAATCATGCCTGAAAAGAGAAAAAATTGCAAAGTCATCTATCATATGAGTATTCTTTTCCTTAATCCCCACCTCTCTACATAGAGGAAGGATATGTGCCTGTCTCATCATTTGTCCACTTGAATCAGTATCTGTCATTGCACTTTGCATTTACTTATTTATAGCAATGGACAGATTATTTTACTGGTTCTATTTACTTTGCCAATTAGTTGGCATACCATCTGTTCCATTCTCTGAATTCTTCAATTTTTTTTTATATTGTAAAATATAGTATATATTTATACATCAATTATGTAAAAATATAAATTATTGTAAAATATTCCAATTCATTCAAAAATCACAACTGGCTGAAACAGTCTCCAAATATTAACTAATGGCTTTTTGTTTTGCTGTCTTCCCCCTCCCCCCAATACAACAGGTGTTGATATTAATATTGTGGAATGTATGTTTTTCTTTCTGTCTCTGACTTCCTTGGGAGCACATAACTGGGTCAAGCAGCATTAAAAATTCAGAAACTTTTCTATTGTACACAATTCCAAATTATGTTCCTGAACTGCTGGACCAATTTACACATATACTATTAGTATAAAGTGTATATGAATTTACATAGCATCACCACCACTGACTTTTTAAACTATTTTTCACAAATTTTATTATTAATTACAAACACTTTCCATGTTTGTATTGATATTTTGTGAGACCTTTTCATATCACCTGCTTAGTTATCAAGTGAAGACCAGTTTTATTTCATACCTATGCCAACAAATGACAGTTTTCCTTTTCTCTGAACTTCTTCTTTCAAGTGAGGACAAAGTCATTCCTGCTGATTTTTCTCTGAACTATACTAATAGTTTCTAATTGGTTTTCCAGCCACAAATCTCTTAGTATTACAATTTATCCTCCACAAATTTGTCAAAGGGACTTTCCTAAAGCACAGGTTGTGACTCTGAATCTCAAAGAAAATATTAACCTCTGGAACTTATTTATCTATTTAAATGATAAATATGTAAATTAGAATAAAATAGCAATAATATGTAAATTAGGATAAAAGCTCCTTAAAGCAGAAACTATATATATGTTAATATATATGTAGCTTTATATTCTGAGCACCTCTCCCTACACCTGGCATATAATAGAAATAAACAGAAATAATGAAAATAAAAAGTGTCTTAAGCCTATCTGGTATAGTGGATAGAGCCGAACTTGGATAAGGAAGAACTGGCTTTCAATCCTGCCTCAGTTCCATGGCCCTGGGTAAGTCACTTGACTTCTCTCAGACTCAGTTTTCTTATTATTAAATGGAGATAATAATTACACCTATTCAAAAGTTTGCTGAGAAAGCTAAATGAGAAAAAAAGCACTTTGCAAAATTAATTCTTATTCTTAAGTGCTATAGTCCATATCTCTAACATGAGTGCTGACACAGATGACTTCTGATGTTCTACCCAATTCAAAATTTATAATTTTCCTTTTCTATACCTTTCCTTTCCTCTCCAAGACTACTTTGGATGTTCAATAAATATTAGCAAAAATATAAAATCGAAATATGACTTTAAGTTTCAGTATTAAATACATTATTTTACCTGGATCAACAAGAGTTTTATTAAATACTGTTTTTAATTTTTTACTCTTCACATTCCGTCCTTGTACAAGATTTCGGTACATTTCGTAGCCGATGACCATGACACCACCACTGTCTTGCCATTTTTGTAGTAAAATACTTCGATCTTGAGGGCTTTTCATGGTTGCTAATTCAGATACCTTGGTAAAATGCATATCAAATATCAACAGATATTTTTAATCTTAAAGAATACTAATACCAAAATGTTTCAGTAAAATATTACTCAATTTCCTTCAATTAAAAATCCTAAATTATGTATTAAAATATATATTTAAAATACATGCTAAATACTGTTTTTAAAAATCTAAAAATTAAAAAAAATTATGGCACCTTAAGTTTTTTGTCATCTTCTAATCCCTCTTGCCATTTCTTAAATTCATTTATCCAGTTGAGGGCAGTATTAAGGGGGCAAACCACTAAAGCTGTAGTAAAGTTCAATTTGTCACATAAGAGAACTGTATGAAGAAAAGTGACCACCTAAAAAAAAAATCAAGCATTCTTAGTTACAGGATGAAATACACATA